GGGTTAGTGTTTCCCAGGAGCTTCTGGCTGCTGGGTTCACTCCACCTCCTGGCCCCAAGCCCACAGTCACTGGGGATGAAGGGTCAGTAGTGACATAAATCAGAGAAGGGAGACATGGGTTCACATACCTCCCTGGCCATTGACAGCAGATCTGTGGCCCCACAGGCCCCAGTCCCAAGACACCCCGGCACCCAGATCCCAGGCACCTCTGGGGGAAGTAAAGGGCTGCATTCTCAGAGTCCAGGGAAGACAAATCATCCAGGTAGATGTCACTGGGGCCCAGATGCTGGCTTCTCTTCAGGGAGCCTGAGGGCAGAGAAGGGGACACTGAACATGGCTCAGTAGTGAGCAGCATACGCCCCTTGCCTGTGAACAGCCTAAGGCTGTGCTGGCCAACAGAACTTTCTGTGATGGCAGAAATGTCCCATGTCTGCTCTGACCAGTGTGGTAGCCCCTAGCCAGGCACATGTGGCTGCTAAGTACACTTTAAGATGGGGTTAATGTGACACACAAACAGAAGATTAAATTTTGCTTAATTTTAATTAAATTTAATGTTACTTAGCCATATATAAGCCAATGGCTACTGACTTGGACAGTGCAGGCTGAATGTCCTCCTGCCATTCTCTGTAAATCCCAGCTCATGAATGGACAAACATCGGGCCCTACTCATCCCCTGTCCCAACCCCCTCCCCCAGCCCGCTCAAAGCTCCAGCTGCCCTTGCTCCCCTGACATGACACCTCTCTCCCGCCTTGGCACCCCCATTCATGCTAGAATTCTCCTCCCCTGCTCCTCACCCGGGTGGAGCGTGACCTCCCATCAGCTCCAGAGTCACCAGCTCAGAGAGGTCCTCCCTGCCCTGGCTCCCACCACTTGCTCTGCAGTGTAGCCCATGTCTCACCTTCTTTCTTGTGTGTACATTGGCTGCACCCTGCATGGTAAGCCCGTGAGGGCCGGGGACAAGCACAGTACTGGGCCCACATGGTGCTCAGAAAGTCCCTGGAGTCCCAGAGCCCACCCAGGAGCGATATGAGGCCAGCGCCAGGGGTCCCAGCAGCACTCACCTTTCCCCGCAGAGGCCTCTGGCTGCCCAGCGGGAACAGGGCCCTCCAGGGTGGCCCAGCTCCATGATTTGGAGTCAGGAGAGAGGCCTGCATCCCCAGAGCTCTGAGTCTTGGTTTCCTCGCTCTCTGGGGTGGGCCGAGGAGGGGCCAGCAGAGTCTCTGTCCATTGGGACTCCACAAACAGGCCAGCCCCTGCCCCTGTTTGCAGGATTGGGGATCCCGAAGGGTCCATGGCAGCCAGAGAAGAGCAGGAGGTGCTGGGTACTTTCTGAAGAGCAGAGGTTGTCCCAGCGCCACCTTGAGGGACCACTGTGGTCTCAGGCCGCTCAGCTTTGGCTACCTTCAGTCAAATGAATATGGGAAGATATGGGCTGGCGCAGGACCCACCTTCCACACCCCAGAAAGCCTGTGGGGAAGTGGCCCGAATTCACCATCCCAATCCTAACCCAAAGGGCCAAGGAGCCCCTAAAAGGCAGGGAGTGCGGGTGACATGGAAGAACTTACCTTAGGCAGCCTTCCCCACGCCCACTGCATGTGGGACTCAGCTCTCAGGGGACTGGACTCTGGGGCCCGTAGCTCCAGCTCAGAGTCACTCTTAGGGGATGGTAAGCCTTCTGGTAAGAGGCTACGGGAAACAAGTACTCAGAGACCTGTCCCCCCATCAGCCAACACCCCGTTACCCAGTCCAGCCCTGAGAAAAGTATCTGCAACACTTTTTTTTTTTACATATCCAGAATATGTAAAGAATATGTCAAGTCTAAGTCATCCCAATCCTATAAATACATAAAGAACTCCTGTAAGTCAATAATAAGGAGGAAATCCAGTTTTTGGTTTTGTGGTACTGGGGCTTGAATCCAGGGCGTCCCGCATGCTAGGCAAGCGCTCTATCATGGAGCTACATCCTCAACCCTGTTTTCTTATTTTTTTTATTTTGCTAAGTTGCCCTGGCTGGTCTCAAGCTTGCAGCTTCCTGCCTCAGAGTAACTGGGATTATAAACACGTGCCACTGCCCCTCGCTGGAAATCCAATTAAAAAATATATACAAAAAGGAGGGCAAGATGTGACTGTTTAATGGGTACCGGGTTTCCTTTTTGGTGATAAAAGCTTCTAGAATAGCTAGTAGTGACAGTTGCGCAACATGGCAAATGTGCATGATTTTGCACTTGAATTGGTTACAATGGTAAATTTTACCACAATTTCTTAAACTGGCAAAAGACTTAAACACAGAGAAATACAAATGGCCAATAAATAGATGAAATGGATTCTGTGTCGTTCGTCATCCTAAAGGTATAAAGAGAAACCTCTGCAGCCCACCTGTACACTTACCTGGCCGGGGGCGCAAACTCGCCATCCGAGTAGGGGTAGATGTCTTTGGGCTGTGGTGAGGATTCCCCTTCCAACTGAATACTGCTGAGGGAGGACAGGGAAATGTTCTCTGAGAGAGCAGGACACCCCAGGCAAGGCATGGAAGCCTGGACCTCAGGGATTGGAAAGGTGAAGCAATTAAAGCCCAGAGAGGTCAAGGAACTTACCCAGAGCCACAGCATCAGCAGAGGAAGAGAGCATTTGAACCCCAGGTTGGTGTACCCACAACCCAGCCTCCTCGGGTCTCTACACACCCTGGGGGCTCTGGCCTTGGCTTTTCCAGCGGGGATAGCTCACTCTCGGTGCCTGCCTCGAGTTCCTCAGAACTAGAATCTGCTGCCACTGCATCCTCCTTCCGCCTGGGTTTTCTCCTGCGACGCCTCTTCTTCCGCCCCGCAGAGGCAGAGCCCACGATGACCAGGCCCTCGGGCTCCTTAGCTGTGCCATGCAGGGAGTTGGAGGGAAAACCCGACAGGCCCCCCCATGGGATGGGTGAGGTACATAGGCAGGGAGGCACGTCCTCCTGTGGAGCAGACCAGGGGCAGGGCTGGGAGGGCTTGAGCCAGGTGGGGGTGTCCTCACCCCCGTCCTCACCTGGCCCTGCAGGTAGAGGTGGCAGCAGCATGGCCCTGCGGTCACTGCTGCCTACAGAGTTCCATAACAAGGGTAGAGCAGCCCGAATCCCAGGGAGCACCCGCCACCCCAGCTGACCAGAAAGAAACTTGGGTCTTAGCCTCTTGCCTCTGCCAAGTCTGTAACAGTGGACACCTTCTTCTCCTTTAAGCCTCAGCCAGAAGCCATTTCCTCCAGGAAGCTTGCCTTGACTACCCCAAACCCCAGTTCCAACCCCCTTCACTGCAGTGACCACACAGGCCCAGCATTGATGTATGTGTCTCCCACATTAGTCTGGAACTTTCTTTAAGGGCAAGAATCAGCCTTTGTCTGAGTCTGCTGCATAGGGTCTGGTATACAGTAGGAGCTCAACTAAAGTTTGTTCTCACAGTTTAAACTCCTCCCTGGGCTTGTACTGGGCCCCGCCCCCTCATGCAAATGAGGCTCTTGTTTCCTCCACCCACACACCCTTGTGCCCAGCTGCAAGGACCAGACTGAGAACAAGCCAGACCTTGTGCCTTCTGGACGGTTCTTCAGTGCCCTCCTCTCCATGCTGGCCAGAGGAGGCCTCCTTTCTATCCCTCAGGGGCCCAGCTCAGGGGCCCCTCTTCTGGACTTTCCCAACTCCCTGGCAAGCGGAGTCAGCTGGCTGCCCCTTTCTCTGGGATCCCACAGCTTATCCCCTGCCCAAGGCCAGCCCCAGGGGACTCCCCTGCATCACATCTCAGCCAATGGAGAGCTCCCAAGGGCGGGGACAGTGACGATCCCCAGGCTCCACCCAGAGGGGGCACCAGGGGAGGGGCAAGGCTGGCACTGAGGAGAAAGGCGACTCTCACCTCATCGCTCTCCAGCTCCTGGACAAAGAAGGCCTCCCCGCTGTCCCCCAGCTTCATGTGCAGGTCCACCGGCTCCCCATTGATCTCGATGTCCACCTGTAATGGGGAGTGGTGGGCCAGGGATGCCCAGTCCACTGGCAGCTCCCTGCTGCCCCAAGCTCTGCACTGGCTGGAGCTCTCCCTCCACCCCCACCCCCACCCCCACCCCGACCTTGGTATGCCTGGATGCTTGTTTATCACTTGGTTTTCCTGTTCCTCTCTCTCCCACACCCCACAAGAACAGGGATGCAGTGTCCCAGCCCCCAGGTTGTTGACTGCACAAACAAGGATGAGAATTACCACCCGCTGGGCCATCCTATGGTGTTTTGTGTAGATTATCTCACTAATGGCGACACAACAGACCTTTGCAGTAGCTCCTATCATTATCTCCACTTTATGGATGAGGAAACTGAGGCTTGGGGGTTTAAGTAATTTGCGAGGAAGCAGCCTCACAGCCAGTGAGTCTAGAAACCCCAAAACTCCATAACTCACCTTCTCAACCTCTGAGGTACACTGTCTCCCACAGGTTACACTTTCCTGTCACATTCTGGAAAGTTCATGGTTGCCCCATCAAGAAGGGGATTGGGTTCACCATACAGCTACTCACACATGGAACCCGGGTGCTAACACAACTTTCTATCCTGTTCTCCTGAGCCCTGTGTAGAATGTGGGTTTACAGGAACTAACCTCTAAGTACAGCCCTATACGTGGCCCTGAGAAAGCATTTTCAATTCCTATTTACTCTCCCAAGCCACCACTGGGCAGATAAGATCATGCACATCCATAGCAATGAGGGACTGGGCTGGGAGACAGAGATGACTTAGCAAGAACACAGATGAGTTCTTTGCAAATTACAGCCAGGTCTCACAGCTGCAAAACCACGGTCGGCCTCACTGAGCTTCTTCCATGGGAAAATGGGAATAATCCCAGACCAAAACCCCCAGCCAACCCAAAAACCTTCCATGAAAACATCAAAAGGGAAATCCACGCAGAGGATGGATCCTCACCTAAGGCAGGTCCAGGTCCTCTCCTGGGACGGTCATGGCTGCCCTGTCCTAAAACCACCCTCTACCCCCCACCCCACAGTGGCCACCTTGGTGGCCTGGAGCACTCACCACCTTCTCCCGGGACCGCAGGACGCCCAGCTTGCCAAACCTCACGTGGAAGGGTGAGCACCGGAAGGAGCCGTCGACCTGCTTCACCACCAGCACATCGATGCCGCCACTCAGCGTGGCGGGGTTCAGCCCCCGATACAGCTCCTTCATCGTCCCAAACACTGTCCCGGCCAGCTGCCCCACGTAGTTCATGACTGGTGCTGGCAGAGAGGCAGTGCCACGGACCAAGGTCCCTTCGTGGGGAGGCTTCTACAGCGGACCGCCCAGATGCCCACGCTCACTTGGTGTCCTGCCTCAGAGCAGGAGAACCTCTGCACAGAGGGACAGCTGGGGATGGGAGCCGCTCCCTGGCTGGCCCACCAACCTGCTGTGGGATCCCTGGACGGCTGGCTCCTTTCTCAACTGCCGATCTCCACATCTGTTAAAAACAAGGGCACAGAGTAAGACAATACCTGGGTGCCGGTGCTTCTAAATGCCATGACTCACGATAATGACCATGGGCTCAGTGGGCATGGCTCACTCCATCTTCACAACAACCCTGTGCGGCTGGCAGAGCGGGTGTTATTACTCCTGTTTACAGATGAGCCACAGGAAGATCAGAGAGGTGGAGTGACTTGTCCAGGGTCTCACACCTAGTAAGGAGAGGACCTGGGTTCGAGCCTCATCATAAACCGCCGGACTGATCCAGCTGTGAAAACCGAACAGGATGGGCAATGGGGGCAGCCTCATAATAAATCAGGCCCAGGGCCCTGCTGGGTGATGGCAGCCATTTTAAGGGAAGTGGGGAGGAGAGGGTCTCTGTTTATCTAAGAAATGGGTTCATCTGTCTTGCTGCCTCCTGGTCCTGGGAGTTGGAAGGGGCATTTTTTTTGGCCATTGTGGCTGTCTTGTTGGGGACCAGGGATAGGAACACCTCAGGGACCTAAGACTTCTTAGCCTTGTTCCTGGGACCAGATACCCAAGGCAGGGTCTCCCCTGTAGCTGGGGACTTAAGGCCACAAATCCCAAATTCCTTCCCACTTCCCGGGTGGGATGCCTGTTCATGGCCCACCCTGCAGTGCAGGCCCATGCCTGACCCCAGGGTCTCCAGACTGTAGTTCTCAGCCCCCAGCTGCAGACCAGGACTTGATCAGATAGGCCCTCAGACCCACATTCAGGCTCTGGGCCAAAGCTTGCTCCCTCCCCCAGCCAGACCGGTCCCTCCAGCTCTCCCACATCAGGCAGGGCTGGGTGAAGCAGCAGCAGAAGCGGAAGGCTGGAGGAATAGTGGAGAAAAGCCAGGGCTATAATGAGAGCCACCTCCAAGCTGGCATGGTGTCCACTCTAGCAGAGTCAGCTCAGTAGCCCTGCCTTGCTGGCCAGGCCAATGACCGCTGCCTGCATCTGGATGTCAGGACCCAGACTGTCCCACCTTCACAGCGCATCTGCCTCTCTTAGACCCGGTACCACAACCACACAAGACCACCCCTCGAAGAAGCTGGGTGATTTATCCTAGCTCTATTAAGCCCATGGGGCATAGATTTTTTTTTTTTTTAAATGTGTGTGTCTGTAATGACTCATATCCAGATCTCCTAACTCCATACCATGGGCTCCTTCCAGTCCTTGGTCCCAAAACTATACCACAGTTGTCTGGCGAGGGCAACCCAGCCCACAGCAACCTTTGCACAGTCTTGTGATGCCCTGAACTAAAAATGTGGTCCACAGACTGGCGGCATCATCGTCACCTGGGCACTTGTTTGGAATATAAAAACCCAGGCTCAGCTCATCTCTCCTAATTTTCCATTTACATTTTAATAAGATCCCCAGGCAGTGCCTGTACCCTTTAGTGTTGGAGAACTGGAACTATCTTAGTATGCACAGTCCACAGCCTACTCTTGGAAGAGTTTGAATGACAGGATCCCCCACAGACAGCATTTCTCAGGTAATGCTGCTGTCCTGCCTGTCCTGGGATGGCAGACCAAGCAGTGGATTCCTTCAATATATGTCAGAACTTCACAAATACGAGGCCTGATTGGAACTGCTAAAACCAAAAATGGAATAAAATGAAACTCTTTGGATCCCTAACATGTCATTTTAAATTCAAAGACTATTTTATCTTCAAGGTACCTGCCAGGTGGGTAGGTGAGAAACTCCACTTTGGTCTCTTCCTAACACTAAATTCTGTGACTCTAGGTCTGGGGAGACAGATTGACAAGGACAGATATCTATCTGATGATGGCAGGGCTCTAGAGTAATGAGCCCAGGCAAAACAGAGGACTCAAAAGCTTCCAGAAATAAAGGAGTAAGCACGAGGGGCAGGGCAGGGGTGGGGGCAAAGGTCTGGCCAGTGGAGGCCTATGCCTGAGCTATCTGCCCTTCAGAGGACAAAAGGGCTAGAGTAGGAAAGGAAGGTGGTAGCTCAGCTTTTTCTAGTAGTTTCTCAACTTCAGCAAGACTGCCATTTGGAGCCAGAGATTCTTTGTTGTGGGGAACTGTGCATCGAAGGATATTGTGCAGCACCCCTGATCTCTACCCATTAGATATTAGTATTATTTCCTCTTCCGCACTCCCCATTGTGACAACCAAATTCTCTCCTGACATTGTTAAATGTCTCCAGGGTGGGGGTGGGGGCAAAAATCGCACCAGATGAGAAGCACTGGTCTAGTAGAAAAGAGTATTTTCAGGCAAGTAACTTGCTGGCCTTAGTTTCCCTCCTCTGAAAAAAAAGCCTCAATTCAGACCCATCTGGGTTTGAATGTCAGGGGCATCTAGAATTTTCTCAACTCTGTTTTCCCCTGTCCCACCAGTGGATGTTCCCCACACCCGCCTGTTTGTTACTTTGGGGGCCTCCTGTGAGCCAAGCCCTGGGTTCCTCCTTTCTGCCTACACCCATCACTGAAGGTACCTTCTTTCCCCAGGACCCAGTTCTGCTTACTTGGTCTTCTCTAGACAAGGAGCTCTGCTTGGCTCCCCTATTTTATCCCCACCCTCAAACTAACATGTCTGAAATCAACCACTTCATCCTCATCCCCTGGAAGCCTGGTCACCTGAATGCTTTTCAGGACTCATTGATTGTCCTTTGATCCAAGCCCTCTGAATCCTATCCCCAGGATGTACGGTTCATCCAGCCCCTCCTTCCTTCTCCTGCTGTCCCAGGCCAAGGCTTTATTACCAGATGGCCTGATCATGGACATTATGGGTAAGGGGCCGTACTGCCTGGGTTCTAATCTCCACTCTGGCACTCACTAGCTGTGGCTTTGGGCAAGACACTTCATTTTCTGAGTCTTAGTTTCAGCCTTTGAAATGGGGATAATATCAGGTGTGAGTAATTGATAGATAATTTGTGTAAAGCTCTGATGTGCAATAAATGCCCACATGTGTCACCTAGCAGAAGTAGCAGCATTTTTTTTTTTTTTGGCAACATGACAGTCCCACTTACCCAGGCTGATCTTGCAGGCATTGCAGTAGGTCAGCTTCTAATACACTAGTTGCAGTTGAGAGCTGATATATTAACTTGCCATTCAAATCCCCATTTTTGTAAAAGGAGCAGGTGCCCCCTCCCCCACAGGCCTCACAGGGTGCCTTAATCAAACCTCAGATCCCACTATGGGAATGTCAACATGCCTTGCAGGGTAGCCAGCAACACAGGGATGCCAACAACTCTACCATGGGGAAGCTAGGAAGAAGCTGCCCTTGGTCTCAGCTCTCAGCCCTCCATGTCTCCCAGATTTGGGTGTGGGAGGATGTGGTTCTCTATCTAGGACCACAGGCAGTAGCACTTCTTCTTCTTCTTCTTTTTTTTTTTTTTTTTTTTTGTGGTGCTAGGGATTGAATCCAGGGCCTTGTGCATGCAAGGCAAGCACTCTACCAACTGAGATATATCCCCAGCCCGGCAGTAGCACCTCTATTGCTCTAAAAGAGAGAAAGTGTCACCCTAGCTCCCTAGATTGCCTCCAGTCTCAAGGCAAGCTGGGTAAGAGTCAGACCGGGCTTTGCAACTTAAGATATTAGGTACCAGAGAGTATGGTGCCCTCTCCAAGGTCACGGTCAGTCTGGGCAAAGCTGGGCCAGCCTTCCTAGGAGGTTTTGGTATCTCCCCTCCAGATTCCATGTTCTCGTTATCTAAGGAGCTCGCAGCTCCTGAGCCAGGGAGAGGGAAGAAGTGAGGACGGACCCACCACCCCTACGCTCCCATCTCAGTGCTAGAAGTGGACTCAAGACCGCAAACATAAAGGAAGAAGATCAAGTGGCGGGGGAGAAGGACAGCGTGGGAGGGGAGAGGGACATATCTTTCCTGGCCCAGATTGGGCCCTACCTGGGAAGCTGCTCACTGGACCTGCTGGACCCGGAGCCGCCGCCTCTACCTGTGCACACAGGCTCAACAGGTAAGTGTCCTCGGTCGGCGCTCACTCGCAGCTTCCGCCTCCTCCTGGACAGGAGAGCCCGGCTCCACCCCTTCCACCAACCAGGTGCGGCCGCGCCCACGCTCCACCCTATCCTGAAAAGACCCGGCCCCGCCCCGTCTCCACGCCCCAGGGAGCCCTTTCTCCTGTAGAGGCTGGGGCGGGGCCAGACTCCAGGATCCGCCCCACTCCCGCTCCACCGCCTGGCCCCGCCCCACGCCTTAGAGTTGCTAGATGGAGAGTCCCTGTGGCCTGCCACTTGCTCAACCGCCAGGAGTGGCTGCAAAGCGGGAACTTTGGCACTTTGCTGACCTAGGTAATCCTGGCTTTTCTTCCAGCTCGTTCTGTGACCTGAGGCGAATTCTTTTCCCGGTGTGAGCCCGTTTTCTGCTTTGTCAAAGCGAAAAGTCACCTTGCAGGATTTTCGAGATTACAAGAAATGACTGTGAGATGCCTGGTTGGCCTGGTGCGCAAATTTCCTGTCCTGGGGCAGCTTTCCCTGAACCCCCTACACCTTCAGTTTAGACAGGACCCTACAGTCATATGCTTATATAGCCCACAGTTGCAATTTCGTATTGGCTTGAATGACTATTTGATTAATGTGAGGTGTGTGTGTGTGTGTGTGTGTGTGTGTGTGTTGCTGGGGCCAGCGCTCTGTCACTGGTCTTCACCCTTAAATGTCTGCCTTTCTATTTAAATTTGAAATTCATGAGAGCACGACACGTTCATACTTACACCCCAACACTCAGTACAGTTCCTGATTTACAACAGGCAACTCCTAATCCTTCTTTCCATTCATTCCATACACCCGTTGAAGGACAGTAGGCTCAATACCGCCACTGACCAGCAGAGGGCAGACGGTGACCGACCTTCTCAGCAGCTGAGCTCCCTTTCCACTTGCAGGAGTCGCGGGGTGGACAGGTGAGTCCAGGTGAGTGCCCAGGTAGGCTCAGGACCAGAAGATCTGCCAGGTCTTGTGCCACCGGCGAGGCCTGGGCCAGGAAACGGCTTTTCCCTTGGCATCTGTGGTTCGTGAGCTTGTCTGGATCAAAGACCTCTAGGACAACCTGTGCATATGTATGACCCTTGCAAAGAAGATGCTCTGAAAAGTATCAGGGAAGGACTTTAAAGAGCAAGGGCACTGAGGAAAAGACTTAAGAGGGGTGGGCCTGCAATGGCAAAATTCCAGGTGTAGACAAGTACTGGGCAGTGAGAAGTGGAGGGCTGCTGCCACTATTCTGTGACATAAGGTGACAGAACTTCTTATTTGAAAGTTGTTTTCATTGTATTGAGTATTAGTCCTGAACCCAGGGAGTGTCTGGCTGCTATCACAGAAGAGCCTTGTTGGGATAGAGCAACCTTAAGGTAGCCAGGGGGTCAGTGTCATGCCATAAACATGTCCCTGGCAGCAATATATATATATAGAATCATTATATATGACAGAAAAACCTTGATGCATCAGGAATTTCTCAAAGAAATCTGAGAAGGAAAGAGGGAGAGTTTATTGGTTGGGGCTACAGATGCTAATCTACCTTTGCTTGTTTGTTTGTTAATCTACCTTTTTTGAGGCTCTGTTTCATCTGTAAAATGGTATAAAAGTTACCATGCAAAATTTTACTGTGAGGATTTACAAGGTGAACTAAATCGATGATTTTCAATCTTGACTGCAGTTGGAATCACAAGTTGTGCCCTTGACAAAGAAGGATGCCCTGGCTACTGGGATTTTAAAAACTCCCATGGTGGTTGTATGTGTAGCCAAATATGACAATGAACTAAATAAAATGCTGAACATAGTACAGGACATAGTAGTCATTCAGTAATGTTTATCATGTTTAAAAGAAAATCTTTTAGAGACAGGGTTTCACTATGTTCCCAGTCTGGCCTGGAACTCCTGGGTTCAAGTGATCTTGCTACATTAGCCTCCCAAGTAGCTGGGACTACAGGCCACACCACCACTTTAGGGTTATTTCCCCTTTTCTTTTTCAGTACTGGGTATTGAACTCAGGGATGCTCTGCCACTGAACTATACCCCCAGCCCTTTTAAAATTTTATTTTGAGACAGGGTCTTGCTAAATTGTCCAGGTTGACCTTGAGCTTGCAATCCTTCTGTCTCAGCCTTCCCAGTAGCTGGGAGTATAGGCTGCCCCACCACACCTGTTTTCTCTCATTTTTAAAGATGGAGCACAAATTGTTTCCATTGTTCTTTGTTAAGGGAAAAAAAATTGATATAAAGGTTGTTGCAGAAATTGGATTTCCGACAGGCTTGTTTTCGGAACTGTGAATCATCTGGGATTTGGTAATTATGGAGGGAGGGTGAAGGGTGCAGAGAGGCAGCCTCTGGTAGTATGACTTGTCCTAATGCGCAGCTGAGCTGAAGGAGAGAGTGACTGTCTCGCTCTAGTTTGCAGTTTATATCACCATCTCTGCACGTGTATCATGGGTGCTGCGTTTGTTCATTTCTGAGGTTAAGGGTGAAGAACATTTTCCCCTTCCCCTGAGTTTATGCACTAGGTTGGCCTGTACCACCAATGGTTGCTGGTTTCTTATTGATCCTAGAGCAGAGGTGGCAGGTCCTTTTTTATGGAATTTGGTGGCCTGTCCACTTGGTTCATTCACAGATCCAGCGATTATTTACTGTGCCCTGCTACTTTTTTTTCTGGATGACCCTGGCATGAGGTGAGT